ATTCTTATTATCATACTAATATAATGTGGAAAATAATGATCGCTGTTGTAAAACTGATAGTAAAAGCAAGAAAAAAAATAATAATGTCAAATTGACCTAACTATTTGATGATTATGTTCAATGAAAGTAGTTGGTCCATTACTTTTTCCCAAAACCAAGGTACATTTATAACGAATTAAATATAAGTTTCAACACATTAAATTTTATAATAAGAAAACGTAGATGAGAGTTATTTTGATTTGAATTTTTCTTACTCGTCAGTTAAAAAATAAAGAGAAAATGCAAAAAAGAAAGAAAAAACACATGAACAAAATCAATTTTGATATAAACTCATGAACTATAATTACGTCAAAAGTATAATTATGGTTTTTAGTAACGGACCTGATTAGCGAAACCGATACCGAAACCGAGCAAGATGCGACCGACGATGAGCATCCAAACGTGTTTAGCGAAACCATTAATGAGAGCTCCGGCACAGAAGAGTATACCACCGAAGAGCATCGAGAGTCGCCGTCCGAACTTCCTCGTCACGGTGGAAGCCACCAGAGACGAGATCAACGCCGCTAGGTACAGCGACGAAGTGAATAGTGTAAGCGTTGGACTATCGTATTGGCAGTACTGGTTTGTTGTCGCGTCCTCTTGCTGTTTCCGGTACACCGACGGGAAGAAACGCCGGAGAAATGACGGCATCGACGTCACACCACCTGTTTATAGAAACAAAGGGTCTTCATAACTCTAAAGAGATATATGGGACGATTTTGTAAAAATTTTAAACCGACAGTATTGTTGGGGATTATGTAATGTTTGAGTCATGAGGCTGTTATTGACTAAAGAGAAACATATGGGCTAATTTCCTTAATTTTTAAAACCTATTGTTATTGCGGATTATATGATTTTGACCCATTGGGAAGTGTTTACGAAAGAATAGAAAATAATGGGGTGATTTTTTAAAAATGTTTCTCTACGGAAAAAAGACTCATAATTTCTGTTTTGGGGGTACATGACTGCATAGATACTTATAGGGTGGAAATGTAAAAGCTGAAAAATAGTGAGAGTTTTTTTTTGGTATGAGGAATAGTGAGATAGTTACCGGAGATTCCGATATCGTAACCGAAAATGAGACCACCCATGGCAGCGACGACGCAAGTGAAGAGAACAAAGGGAGTAAGTTTGCCGGGATAAGCCTTTTGGCCATCCCCGACGACAAATCCACCGGCCGGCATTTTTTAAAGAAATTATAAAAGAGACCCCAAAAAGTCTTTAGTTTTCTTTTCTGACCCTTTTATCGTTGGGAAGTGTTTTTGTAAACAAAGGAAGAAGAGTCGAAGCGAAATTGAGAATAAAATAGATAGAGATCTCAAAGGATGGTTAGTAGAGTTATATAGACAGCGGGGAAGAGAAGGGGGAAAAATGTTGAGCTGTCTTTTCGTATTTTCTTAGCTGTGAATCCATAATAATTTCATTTTTCTCATAAATAATGTTTTACTAATTTTCCACATCATAAGATAATTGAATAATGTGTCGCTGTTTCATGATTTTAAGCAACTTGGTGACCGTTATGTGAACATGTTATTAACTGCATCATGAAAATATTGACTTTGAGAGCCTGAGGATCTTTAACAATGTTATCTGTATGTCTCTCTTTTTTTTTTTTTTGAGAAAAAAATGTTATATGTATGTCATATTGAGGATACCGGTTTTTTCATATTTCCCATATGAAAAGAATTTCCAATTCCCTGTACCGACTGTCCATAAAACCAAAGTAAATTTGATCCAAGTGGTGATATATAAACGTAAAAATTTGTTTGCGGTTAAAAAATAAGATAAACGGTTGTATAATAAGAAAATATACTAGTGATAACAAAAATTAAATATCGTTTTATTTGCCATTTTGCTGACTAGTTATAATAAGAGACATTTTTATTACAGTGATTAAAAATACCAATCATACTAATTTTTAGGCCGAGTAAATTGTAAGTAGAATTAGTGGTTTTGATAAATGAAAAAAATAAAAAACAAATTGTAAGTAGAATTAGTCACTGTGATATATATATATCATTCGTGGATTAATTTTGTCATACTTTTTGTATTTCATAGTTTTTGTATTAAAAATAAAAAATTGACAGAAGTCCAACCAAACACAACAAATTAATCCGGAAAAGAAAAAGTGGAATGGCCACCTCTAAATATATAATGTGCACACGGTGATGTTAGGAGTGTGTGAATAAAATTGTCGCCGATGTATGCATGACTCTAAATCAATTACAATTTGCTGACTTTAAAGACCCACTTGATGGTTCAACGGCTCTAATCCAATTCCAAACACATAACGAGTTATTTCAAAATATCTTTGTTCTTTTTTTAAGAATTATTTTCGTCGGTAATGTAACTCGTCAATGTCTTCTTCATCCAAAATTTTCCTTATTAGGTATTAGAAAACAAGGGATAAATTATCAAGTAAAAGATAACATTGATAGATAATTAGTACACTAATCTAGTATTGTCATTTAGTGTACTATGTAGTTGTGCCCATAATCTGACTAATAATGTATCAGTTCATACATTAATTACCCTAGATATATTGTCTATCAAATTCCGGATTTTTTGTTCTTTAAACAAATACTTCAAAACCAAATAACCATAACATTTACAAATTGTGTATCAGAAGTTATCATGCTATAAACTTTACCAAAAAAGAGCTGAGGTCGGTGGAATGGTGGCAAAATTCATTATACACGTCATATACTACTAATCAGCAAGGATCGCATTTCATTCGACGGTCCAACTAATTTTTCTTTATCTATTGGATAACATTAAATTCGTTTTGGATAATGTTTTTAGAATTAATTTGCTTCATGGGATGCAGCATCGTTTTTTCTTATAACGTGACTTCAAATTTTTCTTTACAGATATAAAGTGTTTTTTTCACAAATAGTTATCGTTTTCGACCACTCAGGATTTTGTTTTTCTAGAAACAACATAAAAATGCACCATTAGTTACGTGGAATGCTTATCCATATGTTCTCTTTCTAACTTTGAAAGTTTTTCTAACGTTCACATATATACAATTCCGTGATGTTAGGATAGATTCAAATACATGTTATAGGATAGATTCAAATACATGTCATAATCCTTTATGCAATCTTATTTTATAATCTATTTAATACATGTAGCCATCTACTGACAAATTTATTACTAATTTAGTAATATCATGACTCATGTTAATTTGGTTTTCAGATTATATTTAGTTATATATTCAGTGAATTGCTTCTAACCTTTTTACTTGGACTGCTTGCGCATATTTACCATTATCGTTAAACCCAAAAAAAAATAAAATAATTATCATTGTTTCTTTTTTTGTTTCCTATGTAATATTTATAAAAGAGCTTAAAAGTAAATAAAAGACTGAGTAAAGGGAAAGAGGGAATTTGGTTGACGCCAAAATAAGGAAGAGCGAATTTTGATTTTTTAAAAAGGTAAAGGAAAATAAAGAAATTATTTAAAATAAAGGGGTTAAAGGTAATTTAAAAAGCTGGGCTCGTTCTTTTCCCAGATTCGCGGCACTAGTTTTCGCTTCTAAATTCTAAACAAAGATTTCCTGATGATTATCATAACCCAAATTTCCTAAATTGCCCCTGTCATTCTCCTAGATTTTAAATTTTTAATATAGTTGTCAAATTTCACTGAATGATCTGTGTC